CTAAATATTTTCTCTACATTTGAAATAGTTCTTAAAATTCTTACTATTAAAGCAAAATTTTTAATAAATAAAAGTTAGAGTATTATATTAAATGTTTTTCAAAATCTTAGGGGGGGGCGGCTGCCCCCCCTTGTCCTTCATTGGCTCCGTCCCTGACTACAATCATATTCTTGCATGCACTATCAAGGACAATATCACTCGATACTAGACCATGACTGGCCACCAAAAGAAACAAAAATGCCCCAAAAAAGGTTTCAAAATCACCCTTCAACTTTTCATTGAAACCAATGATTTTTTTTCTAATCCACTGAGTAAAAAAAGAAAATTTGGAAAAAGATGCTAGGATGTGTAATCTATCTTTTCATTGGTGGAATAAGAGGAAATTACTTATGCCTCTCACCCACCAACCACTGCCGTCTAGTGCAGAGACAAGGAAACAATGATCTTTCGAAAAGGATGATGCAAAAGTAAAGCGAAATAATTTTGGGTGCTCTTCTTGGTGTTTGTTTGGAAACATGAATAGACAATATCTAGATGAATGGATGGAAAGATAAGTATATTCACATCATATTTCTAAACTAGCCTATTTATATATTTATATATTTTTATTGGGTGTGTCCCATCGAGTGTTGAACTGACGATACAACAATCACTATTCATATCATGAAAAAGGGAATGACATAGTAATATCAAAATTTCTAAGACTTAGTTTGATAATGTTTATTTGTACCTGCAACAGTAGGTCTTTAGTCTTTTAACATTCTAAAAAATATAAAATATAGATAATATATTGTATATTTATTTTAATTAATATTTTACATATTTTTAAATAATAAAAGCACATAAAAACCAAAAGCTTAAAGACCAAAAAGCTTTCTCAAACGGTACCTATATGTCCAAGTGCTTCCAATTTAGCATGCAAGATCTTCATCCTTCTTGTTGATTTTGTGTTTTTCTACATGATTTTGATCCAATATATGACATTTGAAGCCATGCTAATTAACATCCCCACTATCCACCACTGTGGAGTTTTAAATTTAACTATAGTGGATGGTAACAGATCTTTAGGAAAGGACATACGAAACCGAACCCACCAAAACACATAACAGATTACCACACTTAACCAATCTCTATAGTATAGGCAAGGTTCCAAACCAGCCAACACCACCATACTGTATGTGACAACAGATTTCAAAGACAAAATTGTGCGTGTGATTCCTTTAGTATTTGTGGAGGGCGGTGATAGATTTTTGGGGAAAAATCTTTGTAACCAAAAATAGAAAACCATATAACTGATTATTGCAAATAACTAGTCTTTATAATCAGCTATAGGATATGTGATAAGAGCAATCCAAAACATGCTTTGTGCGACCCTTACAATGGCTAAAATCAAATCGCTGATTGCTTCAGTATTTGTGGAGGGCAATGAGCTATCTTGGGGATTGAACTTATAGAACTGAGCACACCAAATCATAATAGCAATTGCCTTAACTAACCAATCTTTATAGTCAGACAAGGGAGATTTGATAGCAAAAGACAAAAAGTTGGCTGCTGCAAATTTTACGACAATTGATGAAAAAATCAAAAACAAGTTGGTGCTTCTAGTTGTGTTATTTGTAGAGGTCAATGATTGATCTTCTTCCAAATCTAACCAATACTTATCTAACCAACTCTTGAAACTGATCAACACAAAACAAATGGAGGCAATTATCCACGAGGGAAACATGAACTTGAGCCAATTATAAGTAATCGATCTAATGACTCCAATGATGAAACTAAACAACCCAAGGTCTGTCTGCGGTCGTAACACCACTAGTACACATAGAAGAAAAATTGCAATGCACAACATAGCGATGAGGATTTTCAATGAATTATCATACAATCTTGCAAAAACAAGTGCTAAAATAAAGAAGGTGAAGTTTGATGTTGAATTTGCTGTACACCTATACTTTTTGCGTAGAATTTTGAGTTGACTCCAATGGTTCGAATCTGCTAGCATGTTAGGGCCAACAACCAACAATAAAAATTGTGTTTTAACCCCTCCTTTATCATATTTTGAACTAAAATCTATATCCATCAAGAGAAATGTGGTGAAGAAAAGGGCAAGTTTACTGATTAACTTGGCCTTTAGTTGACCCTTTGTCGCTTCATTGTTGAGATGCATTTGGAGGACTTTAGATAGATTCTTCATCTTCTCAATAATCGGATCTAGCAAAGCTCTCATTGCTAATTGGCAATAAACCTTGAGAATTTTCCATTGATTGCTCAACTCATCTTCAATCCAATTCTGTAAAAATACAACCCCAAAGATAAGATTAGTCAGGGGCAATAACGGATGAAACTTAACAAACATCCTTACAACTTTCACAATTTGTGGCACTGTAGTTGAATCTCGTATCTTCCATTGTGGAGAAAGATGAGAAAAAACTAGCAGCACAGGTGGTTTATTCACATTAGTTAATTCTTCGGTGCATAAAAATAAGTCTATTTTCCCAGTCTGGAGTACCAGTGAAGAATTCAAAAATAAATCACTATAATATGTGTGGACAACCAATAGACAATCACTTAATTAAGTGACCTGAAGCTAATCTTTGTCAAAAGTAAGATGTTTATCAAATATCTCACTTCGCTCATTTATGGTGGGTCTTCAAAGTCGTGATTCGGCGTGCTTTTGGGTCATTTAACGTGCTTCTGGGGCATTTGACGTGGGGAGTGGGAATGTGGGTCCTCCATGGACTTTATTTATTTATTTTTTTTGGTGAATTCTGTGGACTTGGATTAATATTGGCATTCGACTGTCACTTTCCTTACCAACAACGAAGCCATGCTAATTTTCTTCCTGTTTGAAATTGTTGTCCCAAAGTGGATGCTTTTACAAACATAGGAAGATGGCTTTATCTAAAAATAATAAATTTAATAGGCAATAAAAAACTATGTTAAACATCAAAACTTTCTTAAAAAGACTTTAAAATAGTATCATTATTTTAAAATTTAATATTCAAGACTTTTATATGCCCGCGTAGCGGGCACCCTCCACTTGTTGGGTTTTAGGTTCTAGAGTCATCACATTTGAACGGTAAAAATCCCCCCAAGAATTGCCATTTGAGCAAAGTGGGTCACGGCCTAGGAAAAATTTTGTCCAATTTAGTGCCATGTCAATGTGGGATTCACATTCACCAAAATTGGCTCTCCGTTTATTATTTTCTTCAAAAACGGGCTTTCCGTTAA